TGTTAAACTAAAATTGTTTTCTGTAGAACCAGAAAGGTTGATGTGCACGACCTGATGAAGAGTTCATCAAACACATCAGCTGATCTTCTCATTTTGTTTCGTTTTTCCACAGGAGGAACGTTCCTCTGTTCCGGCCTCACTCCTGGCACCTGGCAAAACTTTCAGATCTGCCTCCTCCTCCCTCCCCTCCTCCTCTTCCTCCATCACCTCCTCCTTCTCTCCAGGCCCCCTCCACTAACTCGGCGCCTCTCCCTCCACCTCCTCCTGATCTGGCTCCTCCCTCTGCCATGCAGCTTCACCCTGGATCCTTCAACTGGACCAGTAATGACCACAGGTGAGATCACAGGACCACCATGGTCAGTCAGACCTTCAAACTTGCTTTACGAGAACGTTGTTACTGGCTCCATTACAGGGACTGGTACCAAAAACCAGGGGCAGTAGTAGGACGTGTGTGACTTTCATGATGTCCCATGATGACAGGAAGTGAGTTTGACCTGAAAACATCTTGAATTGTGATGATATTTAACAATTAAAATCGTCAAAATTAGGAATACGTTTTTCAAAAATGTCTAAATATAACCATCATTTAAAGGTTCATTTGGGACTGACTGAGTCTGATGATGTCATTTCCATTATTAAAAAAACCCACACAGAGAGGAAGTGACCTCAGCGTGTCCTCATTGTGAGAAGGTCCCTGCTGCTGTTGTACAGAGCTAGAATCAGTGAGTGATTTCATACAAGCAAAGTCGTCTCACATGAGTCACCGATGATAATCCCACGGGGATTATAACTGTTCCGTTAAAGAGAAGAAAAGTCACTGATTACAATCCCACGCTGATGTGTGTGTGTTTCATGATTGAATGGAGAACATAAACACACAGATTAACTCAGTGCTGGGATGAGAGGGGAATATCATTTTATTATTTCCTGGTCAGTGACGATGACAGATTTATAGGAATAGCAGTTTTTGTCCAGTTGATGGTGAAACCTGTCCGTCTATCCAATCGGAGGAGAGGCGGTCGGATGAGGAGGAGCATTTCCAGACAAAGCCATGTGACTGTAGAACAGTGAACAGAGTCTGAAGACAGACTGTGTGAGGGTTCTCAGTCGTCCTACACACAGAGGGTCGGAGATCCAGACCGGCTTGTTTTCATGGTGATCATGTAAATGTGGGATTTAGTCTGACTCACATCCTTCCGCAGATGTGACACAAAGATCTGAACTCTTCTCAAACACAACGTACCGCTGCTCTTCTCTGCTGCTGTCTTCTTTAGCTTCTACTCTTTTGTGAGCAGATCGAAAAAACAGGAATATGAACTTCTTTCATTCAGAAAACAGAAAGAAGCAGAGAGAAAATGTCAAGGCGTCTGCAGCTTTATGATCTGGACTCTGGAGCAGGAGAACTTCCTGCACCAGGACGTGTCAGAAATGTTCTCCTCACTTTTCCTCCAGTTAGAAAATAATCCGCTCTTTGTTTTCTCTGCTGTGGTTTTCCTTGAAGTTGGGTTTTATGGGAAATTCCCCAGTTTTGAATGCTGTTCTTGGGATATTTGATGATCTTATTAAGATGATCTTACTGAGTTAAAAACAGAAGGAGACAGAACACAGAGGTGAGGAGCAGAAAGAATGCTTGGTGCCGAGTTGGAGAAGAACGAGTTTGATTTGTCTGCTCATCTGGATTATCTTTAGTACAATCTTAGTTTACATTTGTAAAACATTGGGTTATTTAAACTTTTCTGACATTAAGATGAGCCTTTCATTTGATTAAAACCAAACTTTAACTTTTATCCTGACGTTAATGCTAATTTTTCATTTATCTCAAACGTGTTTTCCAAACCCTGACTCCTCTGTTCTCTCAGCAGTGACCTGTCCATCCAGTGGAGTCAGCTGACCAGACCATATTCCTCCACCGACCGAAGTAGTTCTCTGGGCTCCATGGAGAGTTTGGACACGCCAACTCCCAGCACGCAGCCGTATTCTGACTCCAGGAATTCACCTATTGACGCAGCCACTATCAACAGCAAGAGAGACTCCGCCTACAGCTCCTTCTCCGCCAGCTCCAACACTTCTGACTACGCCACAGTTCCACTCCGGCCTGAGGAAACCTGCTCCATGGAGAACCTCCTCCACACACTGGGACCTGCTGGAGAAACCTCCAACCAGAGCCATTCTGCTGCTCCAGAGGAGGTGCAACTGAAGTCCAGATCCCTGACCAGACCCAGACCAAGGCCTGTGGAGGTCAGAGAGCGACCTTCATCCTGCTGTTACGAGGTTGAGAGGAGAGGAGAGAATATTAAAATGGGTAGAAACGGAGAAGAGGGAGGATCACAGGATGGCAGAACAAATCCTCCTCAACCTCCAACCAGGAAGGACAGTTTCAGAGCGACTCGAGGTCGCCTCATTCCAGATGGCCAAAGTTGTGCCTCTGCTGCCAGTGAAGCTTCTGATGTTTCTTCTCACTCTGATGGAAACCTGTCTACTCTGACTGTTGAGTCTGAAACTCAGAATGGCTTCTCAGAGCATGAGGACAAAAACCAAACTGTAAAGGAAGAAGGAGATGGACATTTTTTCCCAAACCAGACTGCAGAGATGAGACAAGTCAAATGTGATGCTGGTTCTGTTCCGGAATCGTCCTCTGCTGTACCTTTTGTGAAAGTTCCAGTTCGGACCAAACATTCCTCTGCGTCTCCGCAGCGCCACAGTGCTCCTGAGAAACTCCTGATCATGCAGCTTCAGTTCCTGCATTTGGAAAGCAACGGTTCTTCTCTGGAGGCACCAAAGCCTGCTGATCTTCAGAATTCAAACAGCCAGTTAAGTTCAAGTTCTTCCCACCATACTGCAGGAGAAGATCAGGAAGGTCCACATCACCACGTCAACGCTGCTATGAACAAACATGATGAAACTCCAGGATTCATGCTCTTTGGAGATCATGGGGTTTTAAGTGATGGAGCCAAAGGATCATCTGTAAACGGTGGCTCAGTCCAGAACTATAACCACTGGGGCCGCTCTAACAGTGTTCCAGATGATCATGACGGACCATCGACCCAGGAACACAAGATCTTCAAGCAGATGTTGCAGGAGGATTTCCAGCCGCTTGGTTCTGCTGCCAGTGTGGACACGTTACTGGAGGAACAGAGAGCTGCAGACAGGGGAGGACGAACAGAGGAAGGCAGTGAAGGAGAAACAGCCTTGAGGAATTCAAACACTTCAAGACATAATCGCAGGAACCGCCGCCGCAGCGACAGATTTGCCACCAACCTTCGTAACGAGATACAAAAGAAAAAGTCCCAGCTCCAGCGGAGCCGTGGACCTGGAGAGTTACTCTGCAGCGGAGAAACCGTCCAGGAAGAAGAGGGCCCAGACCTCAGCGAACATCACACAAAGTCAGATGTAGCCAAGAACCAGAACAGAACCGGGGTTCCTGCTCCACCTGTGGAAATTCAGGATGTCAGGCTAACATCGACTCTGGAAAATCCAAACCGTTTATCTGGATCATTCCAAACACATTCAATGTTCTCCACGTCCAGGAATGTTCTGATGCTGGATACTGGAGTTCCCGGTCCTGGACTGGGAGTCCGAGTGGTGGAAGAACCTGCTCCTGCTGGAAAAGCTCGACGCTGGCGTTGGACTCCAGAGCATAAACTTCAACCTGAACAAGAAGCAGATCGACGAGGCAGAATGTTGGGTGATAAGACTTCAGGACTCACTAGACCCTCCTCCAGTCGCTCCTCTTCCTGTCCCCCTGTGGAAGAGTATGACATCCTCCCTTTTGCTGACAGAATGAGGTTCTTTGAAGAGACGAGCAGAATCACCTGTGGACCAAGTGTTCCAGGTCTGTCTGGCCATCCACAGAAGAAGCCAGGACACCGTCCTGAACAGTCTGAGCTTTGTGTTCAACCAACACAAAGAAGACTGTCCTTCCAGGAAAACCTCGTACATCCAAACACCCTGGAGACCAGGAGACCCTTTCCGTCCACCAGCAGGAGACAACATGACTCCAGGGAACAGGAATGGGAACTACAGGACAAGAAGATAGAGATGGAACAAGAGAGGATTAGGGAAAGGGAACGAGAAGAAAGGCTGAGGCAGTGGGAACGGGAACGAGAGAGGGAACTGGAGATGGAACAGATCAGAGAGAAGGAACGACTGCAGATCAAACGGGAGAATGAGCTGAGGGAGTTGGAGAGGATCAGAGAGATGGAACGTCTCCAAAGAGAACGAGAGATAGAGCTGGAGATGGAGAAGATTAGAGAAATGAGAGAAATGGAACGACTGAGAAGAGAGCAAGAGAAGGAGCTTCAACGAGATGAAGCTGGAGCTCGGCTCAGATCACATCAGGAGTTTCTTTACAATCCAGAAAGCCACCAAGGTTTTCAGCATCTTCACAACTTCCAGGTGTTCCCTCACGTCCAGAGCTTGGGTCAAGTCCCACCATCAGCTTTCTATCCCTTTTCCAGTTCTTCCAAGATCCTGGAAAACCAGGGATACACACCCAGGTGCCTCGATCCCACACAGGTAAAAAGTATACATATAAGTATAGTGTGTGTATATGTATATGTATATATATATATATATGTATATGTATATATGTATGTATATATATATATATGTATGTATATATATATATATATGTATA